AACAAATGAGAACCAAAAATTCACCATTTCTAATATGTTTAGATGCTCTATTTTAAGCCACATCTTCTCTGCTTGTGCCATTTTAATAGAAGCTGCAGTTTCTAATACAGATTTTACAGTAATTATATATGTACAAGACAAACGTGTACATCAATCTCTGAATGAGCCAACAATTTGTCAATGTACTCTATATAGGATATCGCGCACAAGAAACCTGCAACTGGTATGTTTAGCAATCACGTGTCGCTATATTGTTTCTGACAACAAAACAGCAACATTGCATTGTTATGCACATGTCAACTTGAAGATCATTACCTGATTTGAACAAGTTGGGTCAAACCAATAACAGGAGACATCAAACTGAGGGACATGTTTAATATTAATATAAAATCATTAATGACAAATATAAAACAGTCTTGCATGTCAGGAAACAATCCTCATGTGTGTGTGTGTGTAGTAAATAGTTTGTGCTACAAGCACACCGGGCACACTTTTAGCCAAATGGCACACCCTTATAAAAATGGTTTGATCTAATCACATAACATTCTTGAGACACACAAGCATAGCAAATCAGTTGTCAAGTAAGCTGGCAAAAATGCTGTTGGTGTCTGAAACTATATGGAGGTGACAGTAATACTCAAAACTTAGCTCTGCATACTGGTTAAGGTGGTCTTTTGAAAAATAGCATTATGAACACTGTTTTATATATGAAGAGTATGACAACCCTATCAACAATGGTTACACCACGGTTATCTTTTTTTAGTAACCGTGGTTACACAGGGCACCCTTCAGTACAGTGGTAGGATACCAATACTGTGAATGTGAATGCAATAAAAACTCACTAGGTTTTAATTTCATCACTAATAGATTTCAACTACATTAAAATTACAGTTGAAAATTCATGAATTCAAAATCTAGTGAATATGATCAAAATAGTAAACATTAATGCTTTTACAGTACATTTTTATTTGTAGTGTATTTCATAATTTTCTAATAAACGTAATTGGTGCAGGCTATACCATAGTTTTTGATATCATAGAGCTCCACATACAAGGCCTGGCAAAAAAAAAAATATGTTTGTTTGTTTTTCAATATACCCATGTTAATTTAACCTTTTCACCACCAGACTTTCTAGTCGAAATATTTCTG